TTTTTATCTGCTTGTTGCACAGGAAAAAAAGGCTCCCAGACGATGTTTGGCGATTTTTGAATATCACCCCTGTAGAGGGACAGGCCCGACCCAACGCAAGGGGCACGACCCGGGACACCGTCGCCGAAAGGGACCTGCTGACCCGGGTCAATCCCAACCCGGGCCAGTCGGGCTTCGCAGGATCCTGCAAGATCTGGCGTTCGGACGGACCCCCGTTTGCAGCGACCCCCGTCTCTCGAGCCCCGAACGCCCCCGTGACGACCTACCAGACCACCCCAGCCCAACCCGAAGACCCGAATTTGGGGTGGCGGGGGGGGTATGGGCTCCGCACGTGTCTTCTCAATGTGCCCCGACACCTCCCCCCTGGAAATGGAGGGCAAATCGGGGCCTTGGGGCCAGGTTGGAGTGGTTTGGTGGGCGGTGACCCCGGGGATGCGAGTGCCAGAGAGGAGCACCGACAGCGTGCGCCACGGCACCGCCCCCAGGGCGCCGCGCGGGAGGCCGCGCGGCTGGCCCAGGTCGCCCCCCTTGGCTTCGGTGGGGCATGTCCTTCTACAGGCGGATTCTGGGAAGTAAAAAACCGTCAAAAGAATCGCACAACACAAAAAAAAGTCCAAAGAGCACGAGAATCGCCCCTACTCTTTTTCGGTTCCTCGCGCGTGTGCCTCCTGTAGACGAACCTGCCCGCATGGAGACTGCCGACGGCGCGCGCCGCGGCACCGCCCCACCCCGAGTGGCGCCAGTGCGGGAGGTCGCGCGGCCGACACGCGTCGGTTTCCCCCCCCGGAGGCACGCCGGCGGGCGCGGGAGAGCTCGCCGGGGCGCACGGTTCGGGCGGGGACGCAGGGCGGGGCCGCAAGGGGGAGGAGGAGGAGGAGGAGGAGGAGGAGGAGGAGGAGGAGGAGGAGGAGGAGGAGGCTCAGGCCGATGCGCCCTCAGGAAGGCACGAGTGCCGACCTGAGGGTCAAGTTCGAGTCAATGGCTCGGCTGCCCGCGCGAAGCGCGGCCCGAGCAAAGAGAAAGAAGGCCCCTCCACACCCACGCGGCGGCGCGCGCGCGCCTGCCTGGCCGAGCACAGTCTCGCTGAAATAGAAGACGATGCGCGGCAGCGGCAGCGCAGCAGCAGCGGCGGCGGGGGGGAGGGCCCGAAAAACTAAACGAGTTCAGTCAGACCCCGAGCTGGCACCGTCGCCAGTCTCGGGCACAGGATCACGGGCCGCATCGAGCAGCCAAAAGGCGGTCCTCACGTGAGAGAGCCGCTCGACCTCTTCAGAGGTGACCATAAAGTTATCTCCGCTCCTCGAGGCGCCCGAACCAGGAATCTGGGGACCAGAGACGGAAGCAGGGCCCGAGGAGGAGGCAGGACGATTATCCTCGCTACCCCGGCCACTGGAGGCGGGCTGGTCGTGCCCATCACGGCCAGCGCGGAAATCTTCGCTCTGGCGCAACGGCGCGAACTTCGCGCCCGTGCGCGGGTGCCGACCAGCCTCGAGCCTCCTTATACATTGCTTCTGGTTGGCTTTCGTCGAGGCGATCTTGGAGAACCCCAAGCAACGCGCCCCGAGCTTTACGAAATGGCCAACCGTACCAGTGCCTCCGCACTTGCGGCAGCAATAATATTCAGCCGATTTGAACACATCGTGACCGAGGGCCGAAAACTGCGGAAACCTCGAAGGACCCAGGGGCTCGGGGGGGGCCTCAGGCGTGGGGGGGCCCTGCACCCTCCGTCATCAGGGCCCTCGGTCTGGAGCCTGTCGGACGTCTCACACGCGAGCTGCACAGCCTGCGAGCGAGTAGGTTCATACTCATGTCCGTTATCAGCCCACCACGATGCCACGGCTGCACTCTGCACTGGCGTTGGGAGACATAGCTTGGTGGCACGCTGTGTCAGCATGGCCTTTAGCGAGAGCTGATTCTTCGCAAACCGACCGCACAAGCGACACCGCCATTCTCCTCGCACGCTGCTGCGCCATATCTCGCGGCTGGTGATCGACAACTGAGGGGGCCGAGGGAGGCTGGAGGAAACCAGAGGCTCTTCGGGATCACCAGACCACGCTTGAGACTCCAAGAGTCCTTGAGCCGCCCAGCCCAGAAACTGAAGGGTGGACTTGTGATATTTATACTCCCCCGCCAAGGCCTTACAGAATCCATCCGCATAACTGTGGGACGCCGAGCCGAGCTTCGCGAAGAAATCTGCCCATAGGTTTCCCGCCCAGTGCTCGAGGGAGACCCCTCGTTCGACGGCATCGTCGAGTGACAAATGGGCGGGGCGCCAAACAAACTGGGGGGGATCGTGCTGCTGGTTCCTGAAAATGTTAGCCCATATTGCGGCATGCTTCGACAGTCCAGCAGCTTGCTCGGGGTTCCAAGCATTGCCCTCTCTGACGCTGGCTTGCAGATCGGACACAATTCGTTCCAAGGCAGGAGCGAAATACAAAGCCTGGCGAATCGCCCACCGTTCGGCACGGCCGATGGTCTGGCGCACGCCAGGAAGGGCGCCGAACGCGGCGCGAACTGGAATTATATCTTGATTTAGTTGGACAACCGCCCAACCAGCTCGAGAGACTTCGGGGATGCCCGACTGAAGGCAACTCCCGTCAACAAAACTGGTTGGCCCCCATGGGCCTAAAGAGTTCCCCCACATTTGGACCTCTGGGCTGGTCTCTGGAGGCTCAAGAGGAACCGAGAGGGAGGGGGCCCCATAGGTGAGGTAGGTGGTTTCAGCCTGTGGGTTCCCTAAAATGTTTAAACAAGAGTTAATGTGCGCCTCCCTATGGCTCAGAATCTTGTCGGGGACCGTCTCGCCTAACGCATCTACGCCGTCCAAGACCAAGCCAGCACAGTCATACCATATGTGACCATATGAGCCCAAGGGGGCCTGGCACACACGACATTCAGGAGCGATTTGATAGCCCTGAGAAGCACGAACGCCAGGAAGGGGAACCACATCAGCCATGACCGCCGAAAGCGCTCCGAGTTGACGAGGACACCGAATGGCCTGAAGACCTCCCCTC